CTGTGTGTGTGTGTGTGTGTGTGTGCGTGTGTACACATGGCAAAACACCAAACCAGTGTGCCAGGATCTGGACAATAAAGATGTGTCTTATCTTATCTTATCTCATCAAACAAATAAAGTCCGTCTTCCTTGCTTTTCCCTTCATAAAATGGCCACAATTGTGTCTGTCTTTGTTTAAACAAGCAATTACGGTACCTGACTTTAGCATTTTGCCCACCTCAGGTTACGGCCGCGTGACGCCTCTGAGTGACGCTGGCAAGGCGTTCTGCATCCTGTTCGCGGTGGTGGGTATCCCTCTCACCCTGGTGCTGTTCACGGCATGTGTGGAACGACTCATGATCCCAACCCGCCAGCTTTTGTACTGGCTCTACGGGAAGCTGGGACATTTGTATAAGGTACGAGTACATCTAGCGCAGTGCTTGCCAACATAGGCGATATTGTCCAACAGAGTGGGCCATTTAGTAATTTTGGTGTATTTTTTTTTATAGTAGAGGGTTTTACGGCGCTCGCAATTGCATAAGGTCATATGATTTTGGTGTCTATGAGGATCACCCTCGTAGTGACAATTATTATTTAACGAACGAATCAACGCTCTGCTTGGAAATACATGTAGTAGGGCGTTTCGAAAATTTCAGCCTCTGAAAGAAACCAAAGGGGGTTTAGGCTATAAAAGTTTGACAAACAGGGATCAACTTTGTGGTTAGAAGATGTTTCTATAGTTGTATTTGAGTTGAGACTTGAGTCGACCAGACCAGACCAGACCATCAATGATTTATTTATAGAGGCACCAGCCATCCATGTTCTTGCGTCGAAACAACTCAGTAAGAGCCACATTTATTTGGCTTGGTGTCACTGCAAGCCATTTTGACAATGATCTACTACAGCCTTTCATTCGGAACATACTTTATCTCATACACCCTTCTGGGGGCTCCACACTATATGGACCCAACACGGTGGTACTCTTGGTGGTGTCGTCATCTGCAAAAGATTTGTTGACTTTATTCTTTTTAATTGTTAACCTGTTCTTTTTTATTTTAAGAATAGGGGCCTGAAGTAGATTTTAAATCAATTTTTTTTCTTAAAACAAGTTTCAAGCGATCATAAAAGTACCATAACGTCTCCCCTTCCATAGAAAGGTCTAGGACATATAAACTGTTCCAGTAATTTCACTGCCCTTCCCCCTTTTCTTGTGCGCGCTGTTACTTCAGTTGATTTCCTGCTGGTCTGTAATGCAGATGAGTCTGGTTCGAATCCCCAGTGGAACTTTCTTGAAGTTGGATTGTTTTGGATAGTTTACAAGGCTCTCTGTTCACTTTGCTAGGTCCTATCGGAGATGTACGTTTAATTTGGAGGTCCCCCCTCTTAAAACCTGATAGTGTTGCTAAGGGCGTTAAACCTATTTACATAAAACTCTTATTTTCATCCTTCACGGGCTGAAGCAGTAAGGCGCTTTTCCATTGCACGCAGAAGATGTTAGTGGGTGGTTGGCGGTGCTCTGGTGTGGTTCGATTCTTCTTTCCTTTCAAACATCAATCGTCTTTATCTCCCCTTCTTCTTTGTTTATGTTCGTTACTCTCTTGTAACACCTCTAATCTTCTGGCGCTCATGTTACTTTATGCAGTTGCGAGCGCCGTAAGGCCTCTACTACAGATAAAAGACGTTAGTTCAATTCCCGTGTAAGGAGAACATTTGTTAAACATTGCGGGAAGGGGGGGATCTCTACAGGGACGTCGTGTGATTCTCAGCACTGGTCAGCCCTGACACTGACGGTCAGGGTCGAGGCTCGCTTCTTACGGTCAGGGTCGAGGCTCGCTTCTTACGGTCAGGGTCGAGGCTCGCTTCTTAAACCATCTAAATTGTGTCGCTGTTGGCGAAAAGAACTACATTTAGTTAGTTAGTTAGTTAGTTAGTTAGT